CCCCAAAACCCCAAAACCCCAAAACCCCGAGAGGTAGTATTTGACAAGATTACACTAGACTATAAATACACTGAATATTATTAATTAAAGTCTAAAAATAGATTTTTTTAATAATCATGATTATTAGTTTATTAATAGATTTCGGTGCTCTGTACAATACTTTCATATATAGTCCCGACAATAACCGTGAGTTTAAATATTAAAGATATGGCAGTCTCACAATGTTAAATTACTAGAATTTTTTATCATTTTACCAAGATTGAGTGAAATAATGGTGTGCATTCTTTCAAAATGCGGACTCATCATTATCAGTTTCTAAGATGCAACGATGTAAGCTCTTTCATCTATTTTCTTGCTTGCCTTTCTTTTTATTCTGTTTAGTTGATTATTTTAGAAATAAAATGCGATCAGATAAACAATGGCTGAGTACTATATAATTTCGTCAAGGTAAGAATTTCTGTATTAGTAGAGAGTTTTGTGAATTTACTAAATCTCAGTCCTTCTTTCTGGGGAAAGTTTATCTATTTTTAGCATTCTCTTTGGTTAAATAAGGGAACCCAAAATAAATACCATTTCCTCATGTGAGATTAGTAATCTTTCAAGCAACTTTCTATCGAACTTTTATTTAACGTAGGAATCTATGCACTCGATATAGATTGTTTGAGAGAGTGTTCTCTTTCTCTTATTATAGCTAGTTTTCTTATTTAAATCTTGCGAATAATATTTTCTAATGTCTCTGAGCAAGTTCTTCAAGATCACATCTTTCCTTAGTTTTCTTGAGAAGATTTTCTCGTCTAACTCTATAAATTTCTACAGGCTAAGTTCCTCACCACTCATATTATCATAAATCTTGTCATCTTCATCATGAGTTAGGCTCCTATTCATAGATGTGTTACTAACGGTTGATTTTTTAGAAGTAGTTATCTCTTGGGTACTTAAAAAAGTATTGCTTTATTATAATTGTTCCTGTGCATCCTTTGAATCAGACGAGTTAACTGAAGCTTCGTTTGTAGAAACCTGAGATACTTTTTCTTGCAATTTTATTTAATAGTTTAACAACTACTACTACTCTTACACGTTTTAATGTGAGATGCTCATAGGGAACAAGTTTTAATTTTTTGGAAATTCTATTTATAGGTTTGTGTGTGAAATTTAATGGTTAACAGTCTCAGTCAAGGGGGATCCTATTTAAGGGAATTTTAAGTGGATATTTTGTTTCTATTAAGAGGGCTATTAATGTTCAATTTGGAAGTGAAGTTAAGATGATTTCTAATGAGATTACTGGTTTTAGAGATGAATTATCTAAATGGGCTTGAAGACGGTAGGCCTTGCCACTGAGCCTTGGTAGTTGAATAGGTTATTATATTGTTATGGAGCCTAAACCTGTCTACAGGCCACTGCTTGAGGAATCATTACATGTCTGATTGGTTAATATGTTGCTTGTTAGTTGCTAAGAGTAAGAATACTTTGGTTACTAAGAGCAGACATCATATTCTTTTGCTATTGGCTGAATGATGTGATTGGGATTGTCTATAAATAAACTTATCCTTGGTTAGGTTGGTAATTAAACATCAGGAAAAAGTGATATAATTTTATAATAATGATATCTCACTTCTTTAATTCAGTTTATGTACACTATTCTTATCTTGCGGGGTTTTGGGGTTTTGGGGTTTTGGGG